CTTCATAAATTAATATATTTTTCTTATATCTAGAAAATAATATATGTATAATACGTGTCATTTTAAAAATTAGTAAAAATCATAAATTTAAAAAGAATAAAACTAAATATATGATTATAAAATTATTTCTTAATTAATATTTTATTCCGTAAAATTACGCTTGATGAATAAATTTTAAATCTAATATATAGCAATTATCATAATTGATTAAGCAATTAAATATTAATAATTTTTATTTATAATATCGTAAAAAGATATTTTATCATTTTTTCACGAAGCAATAAAGCTAAAGAAAAAAAACTTTCTCAAAACTATCATTGTATAATTTTGATTAAATTCATTGAACGATAAATAATAATAAATAAATTATTTCAAATGCCTGTGTAGGCGCGTAAGAAAAAGTTTTCTTATTTTTTCTTGGTTTCGTCAGTCGTTTCGGCGAAAGACGTTTTATCGTTAATTTTCGGTCGCCATGTATTTTAAACTATTGAAAAAGCGGGACGTTCCACATCCAGAGATCCTCTCCACATCGGATTTATTACGTTTCCAACTTTAACAACGTCCGAGGAAACTTGCCTATCGGCAGCGCGACTTTAACCAAGTTCGGGATGAGTTCGAGAGTCGACCACGCGACAGATATACCTGAGAACTCAATCCGTACCACGCGTGATTCAACTCGCCTGGACGGAACTTCGCCAATTTATTGGCCGAGAATTCTATGGAAGATAAAATAAGTGTACCGGAGACGGATCGTCGCGAAGTAATAAGTCACGCCATCAGATATATACGAACTTCCGACGAGAGGCCACCCCGGTCTGTTCGACTAGATCAGCTCTTTCGATAGTATAGATGTAGCTCTCGTATCGTGATGTTACCGTCTACTACGTTTTAACGTATTTCAGAAACAACACAAAAAATATGAATACAGTAGTATTAGTATTTTTGAAACTTTGACTACACTCTAATATTTTATAACATTAGAACAACATAAGCGCGCGCCATTCTTCAATTTTATATTTAAAAAATTATTAAAGTTTTATTAAACTCGAATTTTTTGACAGAAATCAGCTGATAATTGTCAAAAATATTAATCGTGTTTAAAGTATCATAAAACATATGATTTGAAATGTATTATAATTTTAATTTTTATAACATTTTATTTTAAAGTTTAATTAGCAAATTAACGTTTTATTAATATTTCTTTTTTTGACAGAAATCAGCTGATTAAAGTCAATCAGCATCGCGGAAAAGAGACTTGTGAGAATCGACTTAACATGTCTTTTTTTGAAAAGGAAAAACTTCTCAAATTTGACATAAATGTCTTGCTGCGAATTTTCTGGTGCGTAGCAAACTTTAAACAAGACTTTAACAAATTCAATATTATTACGATACTTATATTACAACATTAACATGTAGACGTCGTATCGTCTGTCATCGGCAAAACTTTTAACAATGTATAATCAAAGAGTAGTACGAGCATATTATTTGCAGCCGTCTGGGTGACACGTGTTATACGATAAAACAAGTTACACACACTTGAACCTACTTGGGAGGCATCTCGAGTCACTTTGACGTTAAGCAGCTTAAACGGCTGATACATCCGTGTTCGCCGTTCCGTACATCGGATTAGCTGCACCTAAGGGCTCCTTGTTCCTACGCGCTGTAAATTGGAATCTGTTCTCTATTACTGTACTGACACTCAGTACCCGACACAATTTCTCCTTAGCTGTAGTGAGTGGCAAACACGAATGTGAGCAGTTAAGAGACAAAGCTATATATGACGAAGATCGTGAAATGCGTAATCTTAAACAGATGGATGTAATATTGCATTGTCTCTGTTTAGATAGGAGAACTATTAATTACAAAAACATCTTTAATGAAGATGAACAGTCACGTAATTAATGTTTGAAGCAACGGGGAGTACGAATATATTCATGAAATACAAATTAAAATTAATTTATTGTTTTATAAGTTTGAACATATATATTTTACTCTTACTGAATATTTGAAAAATTGCTCGGATAACATTAAATAAAAATACAATTAAGAAAGATCTTAAGAGCCATACGCGGATGTTCCTGCGGATGTATGGCTCTTAAGGCCTTTCTTAATTGTATTTAATATTAAAGAGCCTCGAGATAGTCTTAGTGTATATTTACATTAAATAAAAGTTTATTTTCCATCTCGTAAGCGCAAAAATTTTCGAGTTTGAAATTATTGAGCAATCATTCTGATGGAATATAATTATCCAAACTTATCAGAAACATACATAAAATCTAATTTTGAAGTCTGAAAAGTGTATGAAAATTATTTCTTCTATAAAATAATGTGCAGTTGAAAATTATATTTTAGTTATATATATATATATATATATATATATATATATATATATATATATATGAACAAGTGTTAATTCAATATCGTTACTATTCCAAACGTAAGCACGAGTTCAGCGAAGTAATTATCCTGGCAAGTACGCCGCCCGACGTTGATACGCAACTGAACTGAGAATTATTCGTGTAATCTACATCATCGTAATATTCCGCAAACTGGAATCGATTATTTGCCACGTTGAACTTCCATTAACTCCAGCCGGCTGTATTTATGTATCTGACAGTTGTAACGCGAGTGCAATTAGATGCACATTGAAGCAACCGTAATTTTCTGGATTTCTCTGTTTCGTTAAAATTATCTTATTTCGCGCTAGATGGAAAATAGATCGAAAAATAAACAAAATATGCAGATACTGTCACGTTTGTTGTATCTGTCCTCTTAAATTGATGTGCATTATAAAAATAGTTTTCAATTTTGATAAAATTATCTCCTGTATTAGCCATCATCTTTATTCATAAAAGACAAATACTAATTTACATTATTCCAAAGCAACGACGAATTAACATCGAGTTTAAATTTGCATGCTGTACACAAACTTAAGAAATAAAATCGTTCCTTACTCCGTATACGAGTAGAATACCCTCGCAGACTATCGATCCAGGGTAACGTAAACACTATGTAGGAGACAGTAGAAAACGAGAGATAGATAGGTCACAAAGAAACTAATCTCCAATACAGCGTAATGTAAAACTGATGGTCCCTTTTCAAAGTGAAGAAAAAACGACCTGTCGGAATACGGTCAGCGCATCTTTTGCATTACAAACGGAGATCTCGCAGTGAACTTCGGCTGAACCTCATCTAAACCTTATAAAAGATTTTCAGTAAGACATGAACGACAAAAGACTATCGCTTCAAACATGACTTATACGATTCTAAAGGTACAATCTAAAGTCTTGTCAAAATAAAGTTCTTTAAATTGTCTCATAAAAAAGATTTTCTGAATATTTTTTCCGATGTAGTTTAGCTGTTATTTTTTCCGTTCTTTGAACAAACTTTGAAGAATTTTTGTATATACATGAAATAGATCACGAATTAAGGTATAACCTTTTTTCTTTTGATAATACAAAATTTAATGAAATATATACAGTTCTCTTTATTTGCGTAGTAAAATTAGATATAAATGATTTTAATGAATATCAAGTCGAGAGTTTCTAAAACTGCTAAAGAAATTAATTAAATTTTAGAATCAATGTATAATCCTAAAATGCTGCAAATGCGACGACCATTCTCGCAAACACCTGAAATTGCAAATTATTATAAATAAACTTATCGTTAATGGATATTATGTTTTAATTAATTATATCGTAGCGCTGGCTGTACGTATTAACATACATATACGTATATAATTTATCGGTATTATAATATTATTCATGTCGAGCTTCATAATAATCCGTCGTAATCCGATGTGCGCGCATTTCAGAGTTAGTAATGTTGTAACGTGTCGATGCAAAAGTTGATCGCTTTCCGCGTGAAAGCGACGTTTTACCCCGAATGTCCTTTTTATCGTTCGGAGCAAGACCGAGCTTTTCTACGCTTTTCTACGCGTCTTCTTCAAATTCGACACATCCATTTTGCCGCCCGCGTGTGATAAAATCGAGAGACGCGAGGTTCTATGACTCGGGATGACAGCTCGGCAAGAATGCGCCCGGTCATCGTGATGTGATATAAAATCCGAACCGGCAACCATGACGCGGAGAATCCACCAGAGGTTGAAAAGTGGACAGTCGTGGTATGTGACTTATCGATCGAATATCTCGTCGAGGTGCAGCCTCGCCGTTTTTCACGGCGCTCCTTTATGCAGATGATGCATCGATGCGTCTTGCAAAATGGGGAAGGAACGTTTCCCGTTAAAAACTATTATATATCAAAAACATAGAGAGAATGCATGCGCGATCGAGTGCACTATACGGATTTAAAAATAAATATTGTATAAAATACATACATATATGCATATTTTATATAATATAATATTTTAAATCCGGAGCGCGAACATTACGGAAATATTACAAAGCCTATATGCTTATGAAAACGGATAAATGTTGTTGATTCCGCAATTACAAATTTATGAAATAGACCGTATTTTTCGTCTGAATATCCACAAATGGATACGAAACGTTTTCTCGTCAGGCGCGCGTGACTATTATAAAATCGCTCGTAAGTAATCGGTCGTATTTTATCAATTATCGATGCTTTTAATCGAACCCCCGCAGCAATAATGCCGTTATCGGTGGCTCACCATCAATTTTTTTCAACTTAATCGCCTACCTTTTATTACATCGCGATATGGCTTTATCGAGCAGTTCGATGCAACACGTGTAAACTCGCGTAAACGAGCGCTCGACGATTAAAACTGTCTCTCACCGATTTATTTCTCCCTCATGCCGTTGTTTTATGTTTGCATTTCGCCGCGCCCTGTAAAATTCGAATCTCTCCGATGAATTTATACAAACGTGACGTATTCAATTATTCTTCTTATTTTCCAAACTCTTTCAAGTCTCTAGAGCGTAATCCGCATTACTCGCATTGCTTTATCGACAATCTCTCTCAAGGTTCTCCTCTATATACGTCGTTATATTCATCGCAAAAATTCGCTTTCCGTTTTCCAGAAGCGCGAGCCAGAATAAGCGGTCCGCCGGATATCTACGTGAAGACCGGAAGTCTTTTGACATTAACGTGTCTCATGTCACAAGGTCCTCACGACCTGGGAACGGTAGCCTGGTACCGAGGGACTCAGGCGGTAGTGACGTCACCGCGATCAGAAAATGACATCGAGGCGGAACCACGCATAACCGTGGAGACGGAATGGAGCGACGCCCTCACATCGAGGTATGAATCAAAAATTTGTAGTTTAATTTTACAGCTAAATCATTCTCTACTTCATTCATGCAATATAACGAGACAATCAATTCTTTCTATAATATACGTAAGCATTTTGAATAAATGTTTATGCATGCGATAGTCCCTCTTTCTCTCTCGCAAGATACAGAGAGAAGAGCGCTTATATATATATATATTACATTTTTTAAATAACTTATTTTTTTTAAATATCAAAAACTCAGTTTGCGCGAAACTCGTTTTTGCGCGCTGCGAACGAAATGGAAAAAAAAACCCGTCACGCTTGTCGCACATGTAGAGTCATCATTTCCCTCACTCCGAGCGAACTCTCGTAAACGTGCACGCTTCGCGTGTGATATTGTTATACGAAGTGCTATTTAATTTTTTACCACGGCTCCAGTCGGGCACAAGAGTACACGTCGACTAAATAAAAAATGAAGATTACGCGCGCGCGCGCGCCATATATTTGCGACGCTTACATTTTAACACAGTTTAAATATTTCAATTTTTGTCGCAACGTTCCCGCAGCGCATTTTTCAAAACCGGTTCCGGTATGTACATACAATGCGTGTCACCCTAAACGACATGCGCGCCGCAATTTTGTAAAATTGTTTGTTCAAAGACTTGGTGTGAAAACAAGTTTATGCGGCAGTGACGAAGTAAACTCGATCAATGAGCGGGATAAAAAAAAAAAATATCACATCCCTCTATTCGGTTACTTTTTTCTCCCCTTTCGCGATCTGATTACACGTGGCAAGTATTCGGGGTTAGTTTCGGCCCTTTTTCGTTCAAACGCTTCTTCCTTTCGAAACCTTCGCTCCGAAGATATCCTTCGTTGAATCGTCTGTCGCGTGTACAATATTTCATCGCACACGGTGTTCCCGTATCTTTTTCGAGCCGCCACCAGCGAAATAAATAAATGGCCTTCCGCTTATCCCCTCTCGCGTCCAGAGAAAATAATGAGAAATAATGGCGCGCAGGGTGGTTGTCCCGCCGGTCCTACACGTCGTCCTGGCTCTTTGAAAAACTGATCCTACGCTCAAATTAATTTATTTCGCGATACCCGTCGCGGCTCTACAGGGTCCCCTTAAAAACGCACACCGCCAACGTATTCGCAAGTAACAACGGCGAAAAAATATAATACATTTATCCCATATTATAATTAACGCTCGACAATGTAAGAGTGGTCATTTATTTTCGACCTTTATAGGTACGAATATTGCCATCTTAAATCTATTTATTTAAATTTAAATCCATTTTTCATCATTTCAAGATATTTATTATAAATAAATTCGTTAATAAATAAAATTTTCTGGAAATAAATATTAAATCACTGTTTTTTTTATAATAAAATAACAATGTTAATTAAGGTACAAAAATATTCCAAAAAATGTACAATATTATGTTCATTACGCGCTCCATTAATTCGGGATAAAAATGATTTCGCGCGACGGACCAGACAAGAATTCCAGGAGTCGGGACGTCGTGGCGTCGCGCACGTGACGTCTGATTATTCTAATTGTCCGGGGCAACGTCGAGGCACAAACAGGGGCCCTTTGTTACGTGGCTTGCCCACCGTGAAGACGCCATCGGACATGCCCCGCATTTCGGGCGAGAGAGAGAGAGAGAGAGAGGCTGTTTAGCCCGCTTATATACGTGTCGGGCCAAATATTGCGCCGTCGCCGTTGTGTCCGTCGCGCGTCCGTTTTTGGACGTGATTGACGATTGTCACGACGCTCCTCCGCGTTGCACATCGCGCCGCGACAAATTTACGAGGCCGCGGCTCAAGAAGCGAATTAATTGCCGCCCAGCTGCCTGGGCCGCGACTTCCGTCGTGCGCATTGCACGTCCGCTCTCGGTAAATCTGACATAACTGTCTGAAAGTAACGCGGTCACAGTCGAAATATTCCCACGGATGTGTCGCACAGTCCCGTCAGTAAATTTCATCATAATGCGACCATATATTTGTTCACAATGGACGTAATCGCTGTCAAAATGGTTGAGAGAACTTTAACGATCTCCCAGATATTTATTTTAATTCGATTTTTGCTTCTAATTGGGACTGTTCGTGTTGAACTATTTTTAATAATTTAAATTTATTGTTAACGTATTTCGCCTTTTAATTTTGACATAATTATTTAATTTATTTTGACATTGTATTGCGACTTTTTATTAGAAGTTTCATTTATATTTATTTATTTATTATTATATTGATTGCGCAGTGAAGAAGACTAAGTATAGTTCGAAACGTTTGTAATTGGTTTTTTTTTAAATTAAAGTTTTTCCAAGTTTTATAATAATTTTTTATTGCTCGTTACACATGGCCTCGTAATATTTAATAAGTTATCATTGTGTTCAGATATTTATTGAAAAATATATATATGCAAAATACACTTGAGATTTTATTTACTATATTATCATCGTTTTTAAATTTGAAAAAAAAAATTGTTTCGCGCCATTATATATAATTCACATTTTCTTCTATTCAAACTATTCAAATTTTCGCTCCGAAAATGACACACGAGGAATTTATCTAGGCGTTATATTATCCGCAGTAATATTGCCGCGCGCATGATATATATTCCAAAGGACGCGGTAAATACATTATTCTCATTTATAAAGAGATCGAGATATTCAAATTTCACGTTAAGCGCGAGGGTCTAATCTACGAGGTCGATTTTCAAGTCTGAGAGTTCCGCGCTCATAAATCGTGCGAGCTTTCGATAATGTGCAACCGGATATCGTTTTATTCCGTCACATCGAGATTACCTCTTTCCTCCGTCGTATATACCTAGACGGTGTGTATGTTCGTTGTCGAGAAGCTTATGTTAGTCTCCGGCGCCGCCATACGTTTTCATTATCCCGGGAGCCCATCGGAGGATATCTGCTATAACCCGTCTCGCGCTCCGGCATCGCAATAATTATTTCGCGAAACATTTGGTTCGCGCAAACGCGGCGGTACAAACCGCATATGCGGGACAGCGTTACGTAACCTTAAGCGGTTGTTATTGGTCCCACGAGTGCGATGCATTACGACGTAGCACGATGAAGCTAACTACTGAGAGAAATACGGGAAGTAAATGAGTAATCGATAATCTATTGGGAGCAGCGGGCAACTTCTTCGCGTGACGTTATATATATCGTGTAATGGATGCCCGTGTATATATATATATCTATATATATATATATATATATATATATATATATATATATACTGCGCGTCCACTAATCTCTATACAGATGCGGCAGAAGTATGTATCTCCTTATCTAGAAAACGACAATTACGCCACGCAAACGCTAGAGATTATATACCAGTGAAAATAATTACCGAATAATTAAGCGATAGGTAGGTATTCTCTCGTAATCGATAATCTGTTGGAGATTAATTAAAAGTTTTTATAAGGAACTTTTATCTCGCTCTCTCTTCTAAGTAAAAAGATGCTGAGGAAAACGCGTCAAGGTAAATTTTTGCAACGCTTCTTTCGTGTTTAGCAAAGATAATCATTGAGTTTGAAACGGTAAAAATGTCAGAAAATGTTTAAATAGATTTTTCATTCGTTTAATGGTACGATATATAACAAATTCTAATTCGACGCAACAGAATCATTCGGAACGCGTTCAAACTACTTTGACAGCTAATTTCTCGTCAAGTTGACCGACTGTAAGTTAACTTTTACGCGATTAATGTAAAGTTTTCCTGACAGTCTGCACTCAATTTTGTGAATAGTGAAATGATATATTTTATCGAATTATTGTACATGGAAATATTCATATTCATATTCGCATTAATTTTATTTTTATCACATTTTAAATACTTATATTTATTATTTTTTAAAAATCATATTTTTATTTTCATACTTTTATGCTGTTTATTTGTGTACCTTTACCTTAAATCCGAATTTTATCTCTATATGCGTTTGAACTCCATGTATCGCGTCCGAACCAATTTAATGCCCATTTGAGAACTTGTACTTTTACAGCACCTGCAAAATCTTTCAGATACGCGATACAGCCTGAGAATTCGAGCCCATGTTCCGATTTCTATACCTATCGATCCGAACAAATCGATTTACTGCAGTTCATAACGGTAACGAGTGTCGAGCAAATAGAATGGAAAGCGAACAGGAAAAAAAAGAAATACTTCGCTCCCCCTGTTCCTCGATTATTACAGTCGAACGAGTTGCTCGAAGTTTGATCGGACGCGATGTAAACTCTGAGCGAGAAAAAGGGACCACTATTATATTATACAGTCGTAAAAACTGAGATCACTTCGGACGTTTGCGATAAAGAAGCAAAATATCGTAAGATATTTCGACGATAAAATAAAAGAAAAGCTCTTAATCTTATGACAATTCTATGATAATAATCATCAAATTAATAATTATTTTGCGTATAACACACTTTCATAATAATTAATATTATTAAGTTTAAAAGTTGCTATATCAGTAATTGTTTTTTTGCATGAGTTGCATTATGAAAATATGTTTATAATTCTGTTTAAACCATAATATATCCTTTGTAATGGTATTTTTGGAATATGCATATTTTTGTAGGTATTTCTTTTATTGCATATCTTGCATCATTTATGTATTTAATCGTCAACTATAATAGAAATACCTTGAAATCGCATTTACGAATTACATAACAGGATGCAATTTGCATTTCACGGATACCTTCGACAAAAGTATGCACGATGCATTACGCAGAGAGCAGGATGGATAATTGGATCGTTGCCGCTAGTAACGTCGTTGGATAATTATCACTGAAATAATGATACTTTATTGTCAGTTGCATCATTAGTTATTTTATATGATCCTGTACTTTATGTCCTGACGAAACTATACTCCACTAACGTATATGGAAATGCGTGATAACGATCTCGTTGTAAATTATGAATACCTTTGAAAATTTCACAAAAGTACGAAATTTTTTCATGATATATGTGAATTATGAAACAAAAAAGTGTAATAGTTTAGAACGTTATGTACGAAAGTTTTCCTGACAGTCTGCACTCAATTCTGTGAATAGTGAAATGATATATTTTATCGAATTATTGTACATGGAAATATTCATATCCATATTCGCATTAATTTTATTTTTATCACATTTTAAATACTTATATTTATTATTTTTTAAAAATCATATTTTTATTTTCATACTTTTATGAATCTTTATATTTTTTTCTTTCGATAATGTATGCGAGAGGAACGAGAAAACTCTTCACAGAGCACGCTTCAAAAGGCTGCTTTCATATCTGACATCTTTAACGACCGAGTAATTTTCTGCCTCCGTATATAAGTCACTCGTCTCTTTATTATACCCTTTTCTTTGATATAGATTAATCTTTTTTTTATTTTAATTTCAATCTTTTTTAAAAAATTTTCTTAATTAAACTTACATGCAATATGCAAATATGTAGTATAGAAAAGTTGAAAATTAAGTTATTTTACTAGATGCTTGACATTCATTACTTGCAATATATAATATTATTTATATTGTATTTGCCATATAATCGACTTAAATATTTAATGCACACATGGCGACGACAACAATTAGATATACACGTTACGAGTTATACATCCATTACAGTTTAACGATAAATTATTATCTTTTGTGTGACAGATTGAGGATTACGTATGCGAAACTCGGTGACTCCGGAAACTACAGTTGTGTTCCTACCGTGGCGGAGAGAGCGAGTGTCAACGTGCACGTGATCAATGGTAAGTTCGTCAGAAATGCCATAACTGATCCACGCGACAAGATAATCCCTATACATGCGTCGATCACTTCTCTGGGGGAGAGGGATTGCTATACGATACATACCCCGGCCTTTATTTATCACAGTGCATTAACCCTTTCACGCATGGAATATCCCTTTGCTGACGATTTAATCTTCTCGCACGCGTGCTCGCAGGAAATTAAAATTAAAGCGATACTCCTCTTTTGGCCGGAAAATCCGAGCTAAATTTTAATTCACAATCGTTATTACATTCGTATTACGTCACCGCGATCCATCTATTTGGTTCAATAATAAATTGCGTTCTTTATTTTATCTCAAATTCAAAAGCTTTATTTTTTAATTTTTTTTTTACTATCCTTTTTTTCGTATTAACCACAAAAGTTAAGGAAAATTAACTAGAAGATTTTTGAGCTACATCAGATTTTTTGATTGCAATCTGATGTAAGCCTTATTTATTTTAATGTAAATATTTGATCATATATTTATTAGAAATGGTCACATTCGATTACGTCGCGAATAAATCGAAGATTTTATGTTATCCTGGAAAAGCGGGTGATTTAATAGATGATGCGTGAATCATACACGAGGCACATTGTCGGCTTTATTGTCCGACATAGATGGTGTGTTTTTCGCTAGAGTTTCTCCGTCCGCCTTTACGTGATCGCCTGATAACGTATAGAAATAGCCCGATATCGCCAACGGCGCCGCGTTTTCTGTCCACGAAAAAGCGTAATATCCAGTGGGAGAAAGACTCGCAAAGATGAAAGGCAGAACGTGCAGACCGCTAGAAAGGCTCTGGTGACCTCGTAAGTGATCGAACTCGACTTATAGTCGACCGCAAGAAAACCCCAACCGCGTACTCTCGTCTAATTCGTGGTTGAGAAAATGACGATCAATAATAATTACAAGTAACATATTTATTAAACTATCGTTTCTTTTATAATTTTGTATCTTTTAAATTTAATTGTTCACACATTTATCTGAAGATTTGCATAATTTTTATATAAATTAAATTAATATGAATTCTGTGTCTTTTTCAGTATAAAACTCAAATTTTTATATTTTTAATGCTATTTATTCACATTTTTTTATATTAACGTAGTTTCAAATTCACTTTCTTACAATTAATTTTTAGAGTGTGTGAATGTGGGGTAATTATAGATATGAAAAAGATTTCTGGAAAATAATCATTTGACATCTCTTTCACGGTAGAATCAAAGTTTTCGTCAAATGTGTAGCTTAACAATAAAAAGCATAAACGACAAAAAAAAGAAACGCGAACGAGAGATTGCGATAAAGTATACCTGTAATTTACAGACACCGCCGATTATTATCTTCCTTTTTTGTTATACCCGCTCTAGCGAAACATAATTCAATTCCGCGCCGAGGTCCGACCCATCCAACGTCCACCTGTCTTTTTCAACGATGCGATTTCGTCCAACTGTAGGTATTCCCGAAGGAAACTGCTTTCTTTCTCTCTTTTCGAGTCGCAGAGCACGTAATACCGTGCGTGCAGATATTTTTCCACGACGAGCCAACCAACATGCTCGGTGATTATTTTGTGCCTTTTATTGTAAATTTTTCAAGAAGGATGTGGAATTCTTTTCTCCCTCGCTTCTTTTTGTCTCTCGCGAAATTTCGACGCTATGCTGAAATGCAACTTCGCCAGCTGCATTTAAAGCGGATAATCTTTAATAACGACAAACGCAATCAATTCCGCTGATGTGTTTAAAATTTTATTATGTCGATAGACTTACGCTACATTTCTTCTTAATGATAATTAATACCACAAATGGTACATGAAATATTAAAACGGAAATTAATCATAATACTATAATCAGCAATACATACATATATATCGTATTAATTAGATCACATAATGTGATATAGAGAATACGAAATATACGTATATAATGCAATATGAATTTTTGAAAATTTTGTTCTTTTCAAGAATTATTTGAAAAAAAAAGATCGCAAAATTGCTATCTAATTAAACGAACGAGTCATAAAGATATTATATGGCAGTCTCATATATTCTGTTTGAATGCAATGCTATGCGCAGCAGCAATCGGAAATTTACGGCATCGCCGAGTCGTTAAACAAGCATATTTCAATGAGCGAAATGACCAAAACAATACTAAGCGCACGTGTTTTACATTATTGCAAGCGTAATTAATGCGCCGACATCTTCATTGCGCATTCGCGATCTCGGAGCTGTAATAATAAACCGTTTTACTGTCTAAAGATCTCTTTAAACGATCTATAATTTGCAACGAAATTCAAGAGAGAATTTTATTTATAAATTTTATATATCATGTAATGTAAGAAAAATAAAATATAATTAAAATTTTACCTTGAATTCGCACATAATATATCTTGAGTATCGCAAATTAATTATAAAACATCTAAGGCCTCTAAAGAAGCTCACTAACACCATAATCGTTACTTAGTTTTATAAAATCTCTAACTTAATTAATTTCTTTGTATATGACTTTAATCAATTTTAGATTAAAAATCCTCAAAGAAACAAATATTAAAATAATAAAAGAATAATATTATTTCATCAATATATAACTTATCCTCGATTGCACACACAAAAGCTCAATAGCAATGATAAATAATTCTCTTCTTTCTTTCACTGTTCTACGCGATATAGTATGCATACAATTTTCCATACATTTTGTGTGGCGCTAGATGAGCTCTTAGATGCACATGTGCATTTTATCAGAATCCGATTACTAGTGGAAAAAAAAATAACCCTCTTTTTGCATTTCATTTGTCTGCAGTTGAACGTAAATTATACATATATACTCGTTAAACCTCTCGTATTTGCACCTTTATTCGTAGGATAAAAATTTTTATCGTATGATTTTTATTGCACATTTTATTTTTTTATCGAATATTTCATGCGAGCATAATGCGTTCGCTGATTTCAATTAATTTCTGCTAAAATTTTACTTCCTCTTTTTTTAATCTTGGCTATGAGTAAATTTTCGATGTGATTAAAAGAGCTTATAATTGGAATAAAGTATATAAAATAATACTTTATTCTCTTGTGTTATTTCAATATGTGATACTTTAAAGATCTTTGAATAAAATTACATATAAAGAAATTAACTATTTAATTTAATGATATAATTTAACTATGTCTTTATATGCCATTTTTTTACATGCAACATTATATTTTTCTATATTTCATTCCGTATTTTTAGACTTGCAAAAAATGTTGCACTTGCTAAATATTTATAAAATTTGAAAACTTCAACTTGCAATTAAAAAATGTGTTGTCCCAGAAGATTACGCATGAAGTACGCTATTAATTTTAATCCTTATTTAAAATTTCGCAATTTCCTGAACTATAAATATAACTTCAAATTTTTCTGAAGATATTATTTTTCTTTCCCGGTCGTACATCGCAGTTTTATACGAAATATATTGCGCGTTTAATGACTTTTCTGTAAAAACTGCCGTTTAAGCGAGATTAGCATGAAATGTCAATTATATGGAAATTGACGAATGTGCCATGTCCGCATGGAATAATTCGCGAATTTGTTCGAACGATTATTTAAGTGCATTCAGAATGCAAACGTACCGAGTTTGCTGACATGATAAACAATTAGATGTGCAATGAGAGGAAAATCGCGTGCGGTTATTATTATCGCGGGAGCGCTTTTTTCTATTAGATGTGATTGATTTTCTCGACAAAAGCGATGATCATAAATACAGTCGTCACATCTAAAAACGCCAGTTCCATTCATTATCGATGGAATATGCAGATTTACATGACATATCATAACTTTTAAATATAAAAATATAATCTCACAAAAAATTTTATTAACCGTGTTTTTCTTTAATAGGAATATAGAATCACTTATTAACATTTATTATATTTCTTGTATATACAAAATAATCTATTTTTGTGGTATTATATATAGAGATATGTAAAGAGATTTTGATTTTATCATAATAAATTATGCGCATTTCATTTTATAAATTGACATATGATAATGTTATTTTCTGATATACGATAAAACTGTGAAATAATGATCCATCTTCCAATTGCATGATCGTCCAATCGATTTTTGACGTGGTTGGTAATTTTCATCGACACGAAAGTTAATTAGTTCAGGCAAAGCCGATTGAAGTGGCTCCCATTATGAGGAGCATAAAATTTTTTAATTACTCGCGCGAGCGAGATGGACAGATTAACGGATCAGCAGATTCTCATTCGGTATATTCATGATTACACGTACTGTCATCGATTGAAAATCACCTTCGATTTATTAACGAGGTCGCCAAACTATTCTCCACATTAACGAATCTTTTAATGCATCGCTCGTTTCGTTTAACACGATTTTCGTCCACTTTGATCGCATTGAACATAATATTTTAATGATTCGCATGTGGACGAAAAATTTGCAAATAAATTCGACTCTCGTTAACGCATGAGTTTTAAGTAGCAAATTAAATCTTCATTATCCTCAAACAAATATATAATGTGGAAGAGATTGTTAACAAGCGCAAAAATTCTACTTTATTAATTACATACATACACTTAGAGAAATGATTTATAATGAACTCGAATATTCATCGCGCTAGTTGACAATTAAGCGATTTTTCGCGACGAATCACGAGCAGAGAAAAAAACAGGACGATCTGAAATTTTTTATGGAACGTAATTTTTTTACGAGATATGTATGATATAATTGAATTGGAGTTTCGGATGTGCACAACGCCCCGTGAACCGTAACCGTTAACTCCCGTAAATTTAGATTAATTCGAATTATATGGACTCGCGCGTCCAACACACGCTCTCTCGGCTCCTCTTCGGTCGACAAACTTATCGCGAGTACATTGCGAGTGTCCTGTGCGATTGACTGCTTTCGAATTGGCGCACAATAGCTGGCTAATTGCGTCGTTTAGAGTTAATCGAAAATGGATACGGCAGAAGTGCTCGATGAAAGATTTACTTATCTAACT